TATCCATACAGAAAAGGGCGTATAGGATATGCACGCTTACAACAATCTATTGTAAGTATCTATAAATTGCAAAGTATCTATAATATATGCACGCTTATATTTGATCACGTTATTTGGCTTAATGTGTAGTTAGAAAAGGAGAATAGTTCTGAAACATCTCTTCCGGAACACATTTTATGGAAGGAAGCCCGTGTGTGTAAGGATAGAGCTGTTGAAGAAAAAGTTTAACAAATTTTCGAGAGATGTGTAAGTATAACATTATTTATTTAATTAAATCATACTTTTATTTATTTAATTACATCATTCTTTTATTAACATGTCATTCTTTAGTTACAATATTTATATAAATTTCAGGAGACTGTTTCTCAGTCTATACCTCCAGATGAAGATAATGATTACATAAGAATACTCTCACGAGCATTAGATATTCGTGAATATTCTGGTCGGGTGAGGGGTAAGGGATTTGAGATCACTCCAACATCCTTGAAGAAAAAAAATCAAATACAAAAGCTCCTAGCAATAAATAACTTCAGGAAAAGTTAGAAAAGTTACAATAAGAAGTTTATGAGCTGAGAAAGGAAAAACAAATAGATCAAACTACAAGTTTTAAAGATACTAGTGACAAAGGTAGTATCAATGGTAACTTTGGACCGAATATTCCCGAGGTAATTATATACCATATTTATAAATTATATAACCATATTTATTAATTATATAACCATATTTATTAATTATATAACTATATTTATTAATGGTTATAGGGCATTTCCCGGTCTCAACTCTATTTATCGTCACCGACTTATCGGATGGTTGGCAAGGGAACAGTGTATAATACTTCAGGAGAAATGCTTCACCATAAACCGCTCCCAAATGGATTTTTGAAAGTATCGGTTGATGTTGTTTTAGAGGGGGGTGCATTATTACCACTACTTGACGATGTGGCAGATGCAACATTGGTGGCAAATGCAATAGGATCGTTTGTTGCATGGCTCTCAAGCCTCATTTGCGTAGATAATGAGGTATGCTTAAAATCGTTTACTATTTAAAATTTTTAACGCAATTTTACTTACATTTTGTTTACATGGTAATGTTAGACTCCAACAAAATCCAATCCAAAAGACAAGGGGATTAGGCGGGAAACTGAGTCAATTGCATCAATTGAGGTACAACATAATTATATGACATTTATGCTATGAGAAATGCTAATTTATGATTTTATACTTCCCCTAACTAATTATATGATAACTAGATTCATGCTAAAGAGATTGCACAAGTCAGTAGGGGTAAGACGCCTGAAATTAACAATATTTCCACACAAAAAAAGAATGTTGCTAAAAAGACTGTGGCTAGCAAAAAAACTACTGCTCAGTTCAGATTGTGCCTTCAGACATATTTAGGAATAACAGATGTTCCGATGGTGATACCCGCCTTATACCTATAAGTGCAGACTTCTTTGGTTTTGAATACCTGGAAGCAATTGGTAGAGAGAATATGGAGCAAGTTTTTAGACATTTGGAATTAAGCCTCAGTGTTATTGGTACATACATCAGGTATACTCCGATCAACTTTGTTTAATTAGATGAATAATTTATTTCCTCATTTCAATGAATATAGTATAATGTTAATGATGTTTTAATTTAAGATTTATGTATGACAACATTGTGCGTCCGCGTGGATTAGAAGCAAGATTTGGCTTCTTAGCTCCCAACACTGTCAATTCAGGGTTAATCGTAACAAGACCAGATGATGTCATAGCATATGTACTCAGTTTATTCGTGACCAGCAAAGATACTGAGAAGTTGTTCTTTTTGCCATATAATACTGGCAACGAATTAGATTTTCATCCTAACTTGATCTATTATAATTTTCCATTTTTGGCCATTGTTTAATCTTTGTTTAATCTTACAGTGGACACTGGTTATTGGTTGCGATTAATCCTATGAGAGAAACTATGTATTATCTGAATTCGTTATACAATGATTGGTCAACATATCCAGATTTGATGCAGATGATTGACACGTAAGTTTTTCGCTCCCAAAGAGATATTCAAGTTTATGTTTATGTTTATGGTCAACATATCTGGATTTGTGTTTATGTTTATGTTTCTATGTGATATTGATCTAAACAGTCGTTTATATTTTATTATAGCGTTCTACTAGACTTTCGCTCCCAAAGTGATATTCAAGTGCCAAAAAGTAGAGCCAACAACGTTACATAGATCAGAGTGGATGTATATTTTCACAAAGAGATATTCAGTTTTAATTACATTAGTGATGATCTTGATAAAACAATTTAAGGGGTATATCCTGATATATATTCGTATTTTCTTTCCATGTGTAGTGTCCTCGTCAGTGTAACGGTATAGATTGCGGCTATTTCATGTTGAGGTTTATGAAAGAAACTGTTCTTTTGGATCGATTAGAGATTCCATCCACGGTTTAGATTTCCAACTTAGGAATTACATACTATTTTCATATTTTGTGTTTCTCATAAAATGACATATTGTTTTAACTAAATCACATACTATGTTATATTATTATATATGTAGTACTTTGAGGAATTCAATTGTGCACATTACTCAAAAGATCAATTGGATGAACTTATGGAGGAATGGTGTCAATTCATTATCAGGTTGAGAATTTTATAAGCTAAGGTATATTGTCTTATTTCCTTTGATGAGAACTTTCAAGTTTTGAGTATAAATTAAATTTGAATAAAGTGCAACGTTAATATTATCATGTTATGAATTTCGATCATTTGGTTTTTTTCCAGGTTTATAGGTGTAGATGTAGAAGATAGAGCTAAGATATTCATGTTGTTGTTATTTCATGAGAATTCTCGAAGATAGTAAGATGTAGATGTAACATCAATTTTGATTTTAGGATTTTTAACTTGTATCATAAATTTTGTAGTTGTTGTTGTATATATCATCAATTTATATATATGTGTAATTTTTATATATGCATATTTTATTGGAATGAAGCTATCAAATATGTTGTATAATATGGTGAAAACCTGGTTCAAATATGGTTAAAATTCTGATTAAAATGAATTATATATATTGGACAGCGCTTTTGTAAGTCAAAATAGGTATTTTATTAAAAAAAATTGTGACCAATAGACAACGCTTTAAGATAAAAGCACTGTAAAAACTAAAAAAAAAAACGCTGCCTAAAGTGGGAAAGCGCTGTTAAAGTGGGGGAATAGACAACTCTTTTAAAGGAAAATGCTGTCTAAAGCCTAACTTAAAAAATAATATAAAACGCTGTCTAAAGCAAAAGTGTTGTTAAAGGGGTATATAAAAAAGCGCTGTCTATTTTAAAAGTGCTGTTTAAAGGGGGTACATAAGAAAACACTTTTAATGTAAAAGCGCTGCCTAAAGTGGGCATAAGAAAGCGCTTTTACATTGAAAAAAAGCTCTATCTTTACTTTTAGCAGCGCTGCTTTAGGCAGCGCTTTAAAGCGCTGTTAAAAGCAAAAAAAAAAGCATTGTCTAATGTCTTGTTTGACATAGTGATAAGTCAAACCTATAGGATACAACAAGCAAAATCAAACAAGCATAATATGCATATAAAAAATATGGAAGTTAACTTAAAACCAGAAAAAAAACACAAAAACATAGCATGCCCAAATGCTCTAAACTTCAAACTTCAAAAAATCTAAATGCATGTCTCACTAAACAACCTATTATGCGTCTTAATGTATTATAAACAATCTATTATGCGTTTAACTTCAAACTAATGCATCACAAAAAAAAATGAGAAACTTACTGAACATGAGAAGTGAATGATTTTCGATTGAAAGGAGCAGAGTACAAATTGAGCAATGTACTAGGATTTTGTGCAATACAGTGAAAGATGTGAAAAAGCTTGAAAAATGATGGAAACATTAAATGAAATTTGCTTACAAGTTCTGTTTTGGGTTCTGCATAACTTTTTTAAATGAAGAAGAAAGATCTAACGCATTTAGATAAATCAAATTGGTTCAGACATTAACCTCTGTAAAAAATATAGAGATTAACCTTCAGATTATTTTTGCTCTTTTCTTTGACATGAGTTTAAGACTTAATTGTGATTACATTTTAAATGCGTCCGAAGTTGAGGTTTTGAATTTTAAGAATATTAAAAAAATTTCACCGGGGTGGATGAATTGGTGCAAATAGCAATACTCTATACTCTATAGAATTGGGTTTCACCCAACCTATAAAAACTCATAAATTTGTCTAAAAAATTTATACTTGTTCTTGTATCCATACAACTCTGGCGACTTGATAATGGCTCTTAATCCAGCCACTCAAGATAGGTCTCTTGGCATATCATTCTTGAATCAATTATGAGACTATAAAGGAATGTTCCTCAAATCTACCATCTTTTTACTATTTTGATGTTCATCACATTATAAGCTTTAACTCATGATGATGGTGTATTTTTCAACCTATTTTGAGAGATGGAACAATGTACACATTGAAATATAAACTTTTGTTTAAAAGGAGTTACATTTAAAGATAGTGACAACTTATGCAAAATATAGATACCATATCACAAAATAAAATGTCTATCAAAACATTAATTTCCTTCAAAGATTAACGAAACTATAAACACAAACAATAGTAAACATCATTGTTTATCGACATAGCTAGTCCATTAGTGATCAAATGAAACGCGTACACTATAGTTTTATGAACTCTTTACTTTAACCAACATGCTACATACCTATTTGTACTATAGAATCATGCTTTTTGCTCGTTGAAAAATTCTCTTTTGAGTCCAGTACGACAGGGAACAACCACAACATGCAGAGATGAAACTTAGCAATAATGGAGTCCAAAAGCTGTCCTATATTTCCTTTAACAAATATTAAAGCCACCATTTTTAAAAGAAGTCAGCTTTATGGATTCAAAAGAATATGCATTGCATTGCATGCATATATATTATCTATTCTTAATTTAGAAAATAACCAAGAAATTAAAAACTTGTCATGATCATGAATACACTATAGGATCAAATCAAATCCATCCGTTGATTCATGAAGGGGTGCAAATGGTTAGCACCACCAACACCAAGGAAATCCCTAGTTTGTCCCCACACAGTCTCTTCATTATGCATGCGTCGTCGTTTTGTCGGGGGCATTTGTGACAATTCACCTGAATAGTTACCTTCTGTCTCATGGATTGTTGTGAATTTATTCCCAAGATCTTGATTTGAAGTATTGCATCTCAAGGGTCCTAAGCTTCCAAGGAACAATGACTCACTTGAAGTTGTCCCAATCTGAGAAGCTTTTTGTAACAAAGCTGTTGCTGACATGTTTGCTGAGGATGTTTGATTGTGAGATTGAGGTTGGTGTTGTGAGCTATATAAGGAAGGAACACTAACAAGATTGTTTGCACTTACACTATCCTTATCAATGTTGTTGTTGCTATTGACCAGTGGAAGTGAAACAGTGCTAGTTAACTCTTGGGAACCAATATTAGAGGACAGTTTATTTCCATAAACCCAATTTAGATGATAATTTGAGTGTGGTGGTGGGTTTTCAAGTTGATGAATCTCATGCAAATTGCTGTTGTCATGAAAGTCATGAGATGTTTGAGACATCCAAAGGGATAGACCTGATCTAGATGATTGATCTGTGCATGAAATAGGCTTGAAAATTGAAGAAAAATGATTAGGGACAAGAGAATCTTGCATGATGTTGTTGTAACCTCCCATTGCTAGTAATGAGTTTGTTGATCCGTTTACTCTAGCTGTTTCTTCTGATAAGGCTTCACAGAATGCCCTGTGAGTCACAAAGCTATCCCTCCTGTTACACCAAATTAAATTCATATGTTATCAACAAAAGTTTAAAATAAAAAATATATAGGGTTGCAGTCACAGATGCGGTTGTGGCCGGTTGCTACGACACACATGGCGTCTGTTGCAGCCTAAATTTTGATTGGGAGGTTCTTGATTTACGCAGTTGCGAGAGGTTTAAAGTTACGATGTGTTATTATATTAAAAGAAAATTGAGTTTTAGGGTTTGGAATTTAAATTTTTGATGAAAATAACTTAATATACTTAGACAAAGTTTTGTAATGTGGTTTCTAATATCTTCGTCATTTGATATGGTTGCGGAGAAAACTGCATCAACAATATTGCGACCATAATTATGGTTGCGGATTGCACCTTAAAACCGTGCTCCAACTATTTTGTGGTTTAAGATAACTTTAAAAAGGTAACAAAATTTGAAGGTAACAAAAGATAACTTCATAATTTGATTACTAATTATGACCCATTTTAGAACACTAAACAAGTTACAAATTTGATTAGTATATATGATCAACAAGAAAAGATAAACTACCTTGAAAAGATAGTGCCACAGTCACATTTGTATTCTCTGGTACCACAAGTCTTTGAGTGTGCTTTCCAATCCGATTGAACAGCATAAAACTTTGAGCACTTTTCACACTTCCACTTCTTCTCACCGTGCTTCCTACAAAAGTGCTTTTTTATCCCAGTTAAGTCTCCTAAAGCCCTTGAAGGATGATTGTGAACACAAGTCTTCTCTGGACACACATACACTCTCTTCCTTATTTCTTTGTTTGTTCTTTGTTTCAGCTTCCAAGGAAGGTTATGTCCGCGTCGATGAAGTTGAAGGTTTTGATCCCTTTGAAAACCCTTTAGACATATTTCACAAACAAATCTGTTTGTTGCCATCAATGTTTTTGGTGATAAAGATATCACTTCAGCTTCAGGATCTGCATGTAAATATAAATATAATATAATCTATGAATCACAAATACATGCGTCCGTAACAAACACCATCCACATCAGACATATCTTCAATCTGAAGTGTTATATAAGATATATTTAGAAGAAACTTACCGGGATTTCCAGGGAGGTTTCTCTTCCTCTTTAAAATAGGAAGATTATCATTTGATGAACTTGTTGTGTTTTCATGAAGTAAACCATTTGAAATTATTTCTCTATTGTCCATTTTTTCTTCAATTCTAAGTTTGACTCAATTTTTGTAAGAATCTATAGAAAGACTAGTTATAGTTATAGCTTTCTTGAGTATGTGGTTTCTAACCCTAAACAATAAGAAATGATATATACTAGAAGATGGGATCTCTATGTCACTCTCTTTTTCTTTATTAATTTATTTATCATAGGTTAGTGAATTTTATTATTATTTACTAGTAATACTTTATAGGTGGAATAAAAAATGAAGTTGCTATGGGAGGCTGAAAAGCAAAAGAGGAGAAAGGAATTGGTGGGGTTAAGTCAGAGAGAAAAGAGGTGTATGATGACACATATGATGAGGTTGATTGCAACAAAGTTGCTTCCATTTGGAATGATTATCCCATAATTTGTTGCCTTTTTCTTCTTAATTTTAAAATCATTTGTCATTCAAATACTTTTAATGGTTTTATGGATTATTTTTCATTTTCAATAACAAAAAAGGGTGTGATATGTTACCTAGCATGCACAAACTTAGGTCTATGTTCAACATTGACAAGTTTTCTTGCCCACTAGGACTAACTTTTAGTATTTTCTTATGATATCACATAAACGATGCTACAATTAGTCAAATATATACTTAAATTTCAATATTAAAGTGTACTATGATTGTTACTCCTATTTGAATGTGTAATTTAGATGGAGTAAATGTGAACATAGAGATATTACATTTTACACTTGCATGTGTAAAAAGACAGCCAACTGACAAAGGCATCGAATTTTTGGAAATAAGAGTAGATGTCTACTTGTGGGCTGACTTTTCTAGAAAAATTGGTACAAATCATTAATCATAATCTAATCATTTTTTACTTTCTAACATTGTTTAAAATAAAACTTTGGATTTTAGTTGTTGAACTCTTTAGGGCTTAGAATATTCTCATGCCCCTCCAGCACATCCCCCAAAGCCTTCAACTTTCAAGGTTTGTATAAGATTCCTATTTGAATTACACAAATATTGACCTTAATTGCCACAATCCTCTTGTTTAACATGGTAAACATTTTCTTGTTAGTTGAAAACATATTTGTTTAGGGAAAAGTAAATTGTTGTCACCAAGTATACATCTTTTTTTTAGGATATATATAATTGTTTTCATGTTCGGTTCTAAATTAAAATAAACATTTCAAATTTTATACACCTATCTAATAATTCGTGTATCAATTTTACGGTATCTAAAATTGAATCACATATGTCATATCAAAAATAAAATATAAAAATAATAAAATATGAAAACAAATGTATTGGAAATATTATTTACGATTTTATTTGCGTTTTTGACGAATTTATTTTTATAAAATAATACACTATGATTCATATCTAAAAAAATTACAATTTAAAGTTGTAACATGTTACAAACTTACCATTACATTAATGAAAATTATACCGTTTTTTCTTGTAATCAAAATTTTCAACAAGTAGCTTAAAGCTTAATGATTACATTGGCATTATTTCCATATATGAAAAATAAAATTGGAATAATTGCCCATGAGTAGAACGGATATTAGATTTGTGATTCCATTGTACAGAACCCACATGCTTTCTTGTTACCAAAAGCTGGAGAATGTGTCTTTTAACATTGAGCAACTAATAATCTTATATTTAAAAAAATTATTATGCTACTTCCATTTTTATTTTATTTTTTGGTTTGCAAAATACACGATATATGCTGCAAGATCTTGCTGAATTTTGCCAACCCAACTTTAGGGACAAAAAGAAAAACAGCACTTGACATGGATATTCCCTTTTGGATTTGCAATTTGTACTTTACTTTTACAAAGAATACATATAACTTATTTATACTCTTTGTTATGAAATGCAATAATATTTGTTACTTTAAGATTAATAATTGTTTTGTATTGGAATTAAAATTGATGTTGATAGATAACGTAGGATTCTGAAAGTAAGGATGTTATCTCTGATACGATGGTGCAGACTAGTACTTTAACGTTTAAATCAATTACATAGTATAAGATGAAGATCATAAAGTATACTTTGAATTTCAGATATACTAACTATATACGTTGGATAATCTCAATTAGGTTATGCATGGTTATACATTTGTCTTGGTTCTTTGGTTGGTCCATAACAGTTGTCCCTAAGACTTGCCGAGTGTGTATTACCTGAAAAGTCTTTCAAAGTATTTACTGACATCTAACCATCGTGTTTGGCCATAGTAAGAAGTGGAAGGTCATGAGGCAGTTACAGAGGTAATGGGGAACAAGTGTATTAAATGTTTTCACATAATTGAGACTTTCGCTATTCCCTCTGACGCGTGGCTCTAGACTTGCAGGTTAGATCATGGTTTCCCCACCTAGGATATTCAAGTTCATCTAAATTACTTATATTCCCAAGAAGTAGTTTATCCATCACTCTTAGATTTCTTCTCTACTTCTGAGCTAGATTGTTGGTTTATTGTTTATATCATTATAAAAGGCTGGATGTTTTTTCAAACATCCCCGTTTGCTTCTTTTATCATTTAAAATTTACTATTCTCTTTGGAGTCCTTTCTTGTAATCGTGTATTTCGACAACGTTATCCATTCAAACTCTTTTTTTCATGGGTTATTCTTTTCCTCGTGTCTTCTCTTCTCAAGGTACGTCTTCATGATCCTTCTGTGTACCAATGTACTTATAAATGTGGCCATTGGACATGATAGTGATGAGTCTGTATCATTTTCTAGAGTGGAGAATCCATAACTCATGGACATTTTCTACGAGGTGGATACTCTTATTCTTTATCATAATAACCATATTGGTTATGTCCACAAACCTTAATATAATCCGACATATTGAATTTGAACAAACTTGTTCTTAACCTATGGATTTCACCCAATACCAAAGCTTTTTCATCGGATAAGCTTCACAAACCAACAACCGAGATCTACGGTTGATATCAAGAAAACAAAACTTAATTTCTTAAAGGTATTGTACCCTTAAGACTATCAAATACTAGCCCAACCACTTACAAAATTTATCCTCACAAATAAAATTTAAATCCAAAGCACTAAGACAATCAAGAGTGAAGAAAGAAAATTTCTAGAGAGAGAATGAGAGATCTTAGAGAGATAAATTCTAAACAAATATGAAACTATTGGAAAATGACGTGTTTTCAAGGGAGGAAGTCACCCATTTATATTGTATTCGAAATCACTCAAAAAGGAAATAATTCACGGGCCTCATTCACTATTTAATCGATCGGTCTAATCAATTAGTTTAAATAAATATGGCCGTTATGATTCTCAAAATGGAAGGTTGTGATGTAGATCTGTTTACAATCGTTTAAGTGTTATAGAAATGTCTTGGGCATAGGTTTCATCTTTTCTAATCGCTTAGACTAAAGTTCTAATCGATTAAATTAGAAAAAAACTTCCCTCTGGTCATTTATAGGATTCCTAATCTATTTGGCACAACTTCTAAGTTATTTTTGAATGTTCTCTTTTTGGAAAATATGTTTTAGTGTGTGTGAGTTGGCTTAGTATTTTTAAGCTACTATTTTATCTTTACAATACTTGGTTCGCTCATACTGACTGAAACGACTTGACGAGCTTTCACATCTTTCTTTTGAGGAAGATTTTAGGGATCTTGTTGTGTTTATCAATTGTCTTTAAGAACTTCATGTTTGTAGATATGTTGTTATCATTATAACTTGGTTGCTACCTGCAAGCACATAGATCAACACCCCCTTTTTTATGATGACAATGCATCTCTCAGGAGTGTGGTCTAAAGTAGAAAGAGATTATATTTTTGGAGTGTTTTAAGCTCCCCTGAGTTAGATAGAAGATATGCCTTCCCCCTAAGAGTATACTTCTCCCCCTTTGTCATAACAAAAAAGGTAAACAAGAAAAATCACATAGATTCACATGTAGTCATTTATGCATGATTGATTCAATATTTCAAGTTATGTTCTTATAAAGAAGAATTTTTCTTTAGGAAGTAGATTAGTGAATAAATTTGCGAGTTAGTTGTATGAGTCTACAAAATTAAGCATGCATTCAACTTTTTCTATGTGATCCCTATAAAAGTGGTGCCTAATGTCAATATGTTTGGCACGAGAATGAAGTATAGGGTTTTTTTGTGAGGCTTATTGCACTGGTGTTGTCGCATATTATTCTTATAACTCCTATTTTTACACCATAGTCATTTAATTGTTCTTTCATCCGTATGGTTTGGGCACAACAGCTTCTGACTCCAACGTATTACGCCTTAGTTGTAGATACAACTACACTAGCTTGTTTTTTATTGTACCAAGAAACAAGTGAGTTTTCTAGTAGGTGACATGTACCACATGTATTTTTTCTATATAATATGCATCCTCCAAAATCAGAATATGAGTATCCTACCAAGTTACATTCGGTTCCTTTTGGTACTATAGACCTATTTGTTGTGTGCCAGTGAAATATCTCAAGTGTGCCTTACGACGTAGAGATGTAACTCTTTAGGAGATGATTGAAAATGTGCAAACATACATACACAATAGATTATATTAGGTCTAGATGCATTTAAGTGTAATAGTAACCCGATCATACCTCAATATTTTCTTTCATCGACTGGTTTTTCGTTTTCATCATTGTCTAGGGAGCATGATGTCGACATTGGTGTTACTAGTACTTTTGACTTTTTAATATCAAACCTTTTAAGTAATTCTTTACGGTGCCTTTCTTAATAAAAAGAGTTCAATCAACTTGTCCTCGTTCAAATTTATTTTTAAGTAAAAACTTATTTAGGTGATCATACCATGCTCTAGGAGCTTGTTTTTGGTCATATGGTGCCTTCTTAAGTTTAAACACGTGATCTGGAAAAGTGGGATTAATAACTCCAGGAGGTTGATCCACAAATAACTCCTCTTGAATGTATCCACTTAGAAAATTACTTTTTACATTTATTTAAAATAGTTTAAAATCCATGATGCATCAAAAAGCTAATAACATTCTTATGGCTTTTAATCTGGCTACAGGAACATAGGTTTCATTAGAATCTATT